CCAGGGAGGCTGTGCCTAGCTCCAGCTGTGAAAGCCACAGTCAGCTGGCTGGGGTGTTTCAGCCCTCCCGACCTCCCAGCTCCCACCATTGCTCGCAGCTACTCACCTGTGTTGTTGCTTAGTGAGTAGCTGCTCCTCAAATGAGGAAATCTAATGTAAATGTACTGCGCAGGCTCGCAGTTCAGAGAGGGCTCAAGAGCTACTCTTAGAGCCCCTGAGATCTACCAGTAGCTCACGATCTACTGGTTGGTGACCACAGGCCTAGTATGAGGTTATTCAACATAGGGGAAACTTCTTACTTTTTTACACAACTCTAGAAGACTAGGCCTGAGCCTCCTTTGTGCTCTGCGTTGAGAGAGTTTGTGAGCGTGCACACGCACCTCAGGCCAGACCCACTCAGACAAACCACCATGAAGAGGCTTTCTTCTGTAAAGAACAAAGAACAAGATTACAGTTCAGCAGCCTCCTCATTGTTTGCAGTTTGCATGCTGCTTCCAGCTCAGTCCCTGTTGAGACCCTGCTGGGGGCAAAGGGTACATCGTACAACACAACCCCCCTTACAAACATGTTTTAACTCCCACAGCAACTAAGCCCCACGAATATCAAATCCATGTTCTCCCTTTGTGTCACTTAAACTTCTCTCAGGGTGCTCTGAGCTTTTCGATCCTACCTGTAAAGAACACAAATCAAGATTACAGTTCAGCAGTCTTTCCTCTCTGATTGCAGCATATGTGCTGCTTCCAGCTCAGCCCTGCTGAGACCCTGCTGGGGGCAGAGGGTACATCCTGGCAGGAACCAGGAAGTTCTCTTGACATGTCATAGTTTGTAGTCCACAGTTGTAGTTCCCAGGGTTGCTGCTAAAGCACACTAGACCTTGGGCTACACCATTCCCCCACTTATTGAAAGAGTGACCTTATCCCTTTTCTTAGTCAAGAAATCTCTCAGTTAAATATTACATCCTACCCCCCTATATTATATATATTTCCAAGAACATCCTGCTGCACATCCCACAGCAGCTGTGGTCAAACCCCTCAGTCTTTACTCTTCTTTCATCAGGCAGCCCTCTGTTATAACTTGAGCCAGACAAGTGCCCTGCGCTGTCTTGTTGAGCGCCACACAGCTGGTGGTGTTATCTTTAGGCACCTCTTTGATCTGATCCCACTCTGTCTGCCCTTCTCCATTCCAATTAGGTTAGTTCAGAGTCTCTTCAGTTTGGTTGGCTTCCACCATTGTCTCCATGGTCTGGTCAGGCTCTTCCAAGTCAGAATATTGAGAGTCTAAGTCAAAATGGTCTGAGTCTAGATATGGTGACTTGTTGCAGTGTAACCCTGGCTTCCCTTCCTTGCACTGCCCATGTCCCAGGTAGAGACTCTATAGATGGACCAGGTGCCTATATAAGGAACACCCTTCCTGACACACATACCCCCACCATGTGTCCCTCCATCTCAGGTTTTTTTTCCTTCAGCATCCATTGCCCTGTTGAACATCCTGGAGCGTATAGACATACTCCAGAAAACTTTCATCATCCTCTCTCTTTTGGACTGGTCCCATGTGGGCATAAATATAATTATCTGAGGAGAGATCCAAACTTAAATCCGTGCAGGAAGGACCCGGTGAAGTCGGGTTTCTTGGATTTTAAGGTGTACTTGCCAGCTAGCTTCTAGATGAAGGTGATTAATTACCAGTCCTGCTCTCCAAATATGACTATTTTTATCTGAGTTTGTACACAGACTCTGAAAGGAATAAGACAACACTTACGATATGAGGTTTAAGGAACTCTGCTAATCACAGAGAAAGTTGAGAGGTAACATGGTTACTAGGCATATATACTTGTACATGGGAAAATATCTGATAATAGGAGCACAGGGGTTCAGTCTTGCTATCAAAGGTATAACAAGATTAATTGGCTGGCAGTTGAACTGTGAAATAAGATACAGTTTTGCAAGATTGAGAGTGATTTACAATTGGAACAGCTTACCAGAGGCTAGTGATGGGAATCACCTTCACTTAGTCTTTAAGGTGATGTTAGATCTCATTCTAAATCAGGGGTGTGCAATCATTTTTGAACGGGTTGCAGGCTGCCACAGAAGGGGCAGGGCCTTTAAATAGCAGGAGTTGAAAGGACTCATGCCTCCCCTGCATCTCCCAGACATCACAATAGTGGGGGGCAGGAGCTGCAAGCCCTTTCAGTTCCTGCTATTTAAAGGGTTCATTGCTCCTGGCCTTGCTTGCTAGCACGTTGCCTGGGAGGCGGAGATGCTAGAGCCCTGTCAACTGCTTCTATTTAAAAGGCTCACCCCTTTCCCAGGGCTGTTGCCTGGGAACTGCAGGGAAGGCATGAGTCATTTAACTAGAAGCAGTTGTCCTTTCCCAGGGCTGTTGCCTGGGAACCGCAGGGAAGGCATGAGTCATTTAACTAGAAGCAGTTGAAAGGGTTTGGGAGTCCCTGGCTAGCGTTGGGCCAGGTGCTGCAAGCTCTTTCAGTTGCCTCTATTTAAAGGGCTTGTGCCTGCTGGATGGCTGCTAGGCAATGCAGCTTCCTGGCAGGCGCCACTCCTTTAAATAGAATCAGTTAAAAGGGCTTGCAGCTGCCAGTGCTGCTAGCTCATTGCAAGGGAGCTGGGACGTGTGAGCCATTTTAACTGCTCTATTTAAAGGGCTCATGTATTCCCTGCAGCTGCCAGGCAACATGCTAGGGGGCAGGGCCTGAAACTGCCATGCGGGCCGAATCAAAGCCTTAGGTGGGCCAGATCTACCCCACTGAGAGGCTTTTGCCCACCCCTTCTGTAAAGGATAAGTGTTAATCCAGTTCATGGGAGAAATTGTGACCCGAGTGTGTGGGGCTCAGATCGGATGTTTGTGGTGTTGACCACTTCAGTAACGCAGGAATTAGGGGGTCATGCAACATAATTAATAGGCAGCCAGTTTAAAACAAACCTAAGGACATATTTTTTCCATACAATGTCAGGGGATTTTGTGAACACCAGACACCTTACTTGGTTCAAAAATAAAATCCCACACAAGGGAAAATAATGTAAGTATCAATTATACAAAATAAAATTAAATATTTTTTTTTCAAATCTCATAATCTTGGGTGTAACTTTAATTTGCCAAAATAATTAATGTAAATTACACTACTAGTTCCTATAATTCCTGTTTGAAAGATGAATGATTTTGAAGATGTTATGTATATGCGAAGAATAATCTTCTGAAAATGATTTTAGTAAAGTAGCTCAAACTTTTTAAAAAGTGTGCTAATCTATCTTATGTACCTGTTTTATATGCTGCAAAAATTAGATAAAATGCCTGTAAGGTGCTACCATTCATAATCTGAGTATTCAGAAGTTTCTCATTTTTAACTTGTCCTTTCTCTTCTCTCTTCTAGACTTCCCAGAATCTGCCAAATTAATTTTGTTTATCACAAGTGTGTGGATTGATATATTCTCCTTCCAAGGTGTGATTAACAAAGCTATGCAATTAATTGTCAGACAACGTGCAAGAGGAGAGGTGCTGACCTGTCTGAGTGCATATCTCAGTTGGGAAAAGGTAACTTGCACTTTTACTGTTTGGGCAGGCCCCCATGTCTGCACTGAGTTCTATGAAAGATCAAAGTCTAATTATACAGCTACAAATCCCCCACATCATTTGTTAAATTTTTCACCTAATACTGCTGTTTTTTCTGGCTTTTACTACTGTCAGGTGTCATTTTGTTAAAACCTGGATGAAACATATGTGTCTCTTTTTTTCTTTCTAAACCTGTTCTCTTTTAAAACTTTGCCTGCAAGTCCATTAACTTGTCCCTGACTTTCCTGTTTTAACTCTGATTTTATAAAATCTTCCCCCCATCTTAACTCTTAACATCTCTTTCATATGTGACCCCATAGCCACGTTCTTTGCTGCATCCTGAAACTTGTCACCCATTCCATACCTCTCCCACCATATATCTCTATAGAAATAAAAGCCATTGTCGTCCTCCCCATCCTGCGATTATTTTTCTGGGGTGACCTATAAGAAGTAATACAGCCATCTAACTCTTGCTGTTAAAATCTTTGTAACACATCATCACTTATATTCATATACAGTATGTTTCATATCTAATGTAACTATAGAATGGTTTTTTGGTGCATAAAACTGCTAAATTTCATTAACTATATCCCATTTGACATACTAAAATGAGTTACCTCCATTATAAGCTCTTAAATCTGTTTACATCTTCATAAAGGTTTTGCTTACAGACAAGCTGTGCTGCTTTTATACTGTTGTATTTAAAGGTATAACCTTTGTATGCTGGTGACTTATTCCTGCTTTGAGATAAGGATACTCACACTAACTGCTAGTCTTATTCATTCCATATCTGAAGTTGTAGGAGTCTATGCAGTGCTGGAGGATCATGATTCAAGCATGCTGCTGATGTGTGAGGGGCCAGTAGTTACGATTGTATACTAGAAATTTTTATCTTTTTCCTTTTAAAAAATCCCAACAAACCTTAGGAAATTATTTTTAAAAAAATCTTTCTTTAAAATATAGAATACAGGTCCAGTACTCAGAAATTTTAAAATGGTAGATTACAGTTTCCTTTGCAACCTTAATTTTGCCTCTTTGTATGTTTGCATTATGATGCAGTCTTTAATTACATGATCACACATTTTTTCCCCAGTAGAATACCTTTCTCATTCAGTGCACTGATTGGACATGGAAGAGGGTAGAGTTAAGCTTACAAGGGCAATTTTAAAAATGGTGTTTTGACTCTAAGAGCTTCTGAATTGCTATTCATAGGATTTGACACCTCTGGTATTGAGCTTCTGAACTGTCTTGAAAAGCAGTAAATGTGGGAGGAGGTGAGATCTTGCATGAAGATGACATCATTGAACTGTTCTATGTAAGGGAGTGCACCCTCTCCATGAGCTTTTTGCTTTGTCACTGCTGCAAATGGGGAATAGAACTAGCTCTGTTTTGCCCTCAAGACGAGACCCTAGCCTTGTATATTATATTGCAAATAGTGTAGTATAGTTTAATTAATTGTAGAATAGTCATAGCCTTCCGCTGGGTGTGGGCCCCTTACTGAGATGGTGTTGCACGTTGAGCCCCTTAAAGCCTGCTAGAGATGTACCTCTTGCCCACAATTGTTCCAGAATCTGAGACCCATATCCAGTCCTTACTATATGGATGAGAAAGGCCCTCTCTGCTATGTGATGTTCAGCTTGCTCTGCCTCCATTCTCTGGACCATGGTGAGATGATGTGGGTGCAACCTTATCTTTTGCCTTTCAGTGCCTAGAGCCTGATATTCTACTGGGTCTATTATTGGTACTGAATGAGAAGAAATTGTGCAAAAATCCTCTTGTATAGTTCAAGAGAGATCCCTCTGCTATGGATTCAGCATCACCTTCTCCCAAGGTCTTGAGACCACAATTTTCTTGGGTCTTGACAGAGTGGATCCCTCAGATTGCACCATTGGCACAGAAAATTGTTAAGGACAGGAGAATTTTTTGAACAATTAGTGCAGACAGCCTTTAAGACCACTGGGTCTGATGTCCTCATTGACCTATGTCACTTTGTTTCTAGTCTGAACATGAGATCATTGCAGATGTAAGTGGCAGAACATAAGCATTGCTTTCAGAGGAGACAGACTATTGCTCCTCAAGGGCTCAAACAGCTTTGCTGGTAATAGAATAGGGATAATATTCTCAAGGAGGAATCCTTTATTCTGCCTGATCCCTTTTTAATCATAATCATCACTGATATGTTTATTCTGTACTGGGGTGCACATTGTGCCTAGAATTGAAGGCCAGAAAGGAGTCTGTGATCATCTAGTTTGAGCTCCAGAATAACACAGACTATAGAACTTCACCAGAATAATTTGTTGTGTATATCTTTTTAGAAAAATGTCCAATCTTGATTTAAAAATTTTCAGTGATGGAGAATCCATTATGACCCTAGGTAATTCATTCCAGTGATTAATTTTGTGATTGTTTAAAATGTACACCTTATTTCCAGGCTGAATTTGTCTAGCTTCAGCTTCTAGCCATTGCATCATATTATACCTTTCTCTGTTAGACTGAAGAGCCCATTATTAAATATTTGTTCCCCATGTAGGTACTTAGAGTGATCAAGTTGCCTCTTAGCCTTCCCACACCTCTTCCAGTTTATCAACATCCTTCTTGAATTGTGGATACCAGAACTGGACAGAGTATACCAGTAGCGGTCGTACCAGTACCAAATACAGAGGTAAAATAGACTCTGACTCCTATTCAAGATTCCCCTTTTTATGCATCCCAGGATTACATTAGGGTTTTTTTTGGCCATGGTGTTACTCTGTGAGCTCATGTTCAGTTGATTGTCCATCATGACCACTGAATCTTTTTCAGAAACTTTGTTTTCCAGGATAGGATCCCTATTCTGTAAGTATGGCCTACATTCTTTGTCCCTACATTTATATATTTACACTTAGACACATTAAATTGTGGTGTTTTCTTAGGCACAATTTAACTAGCAATCCAGAGTGCTCTGTGTTAGTGACTTGTTTTCATTATTTACCACTCCAGTTTGATAAAGATTGCAAATGGCATGGTGATGATTTTATTGTTGCTTCCAGGTCATTAATAAAAATACATAATAGTATAGGACCACACATTTATTTCTGTGGGACCCCACTACACCAGTTCAATGCTGATTTCCCATTTACAGTTAGATTTAGAGACCGATTAGCCAGTTTTTAATCTATTTAATATGTGCCGTGTTAACATCATATCTTTAGTGCTTTACTCAAAATTTTGTGCAGTATCGTATAAATTGCCTTGCAGAAGTCAAGTATAATTACATCAACACTACCTTTTATTGTCCAGATTTGTAATCTCATTTGAAAAAGATATCAGGTTAATTTAACTGAATCAGTTTTCCATAATGGATCAGTTTAATTGGATCAGTTTTCCAATCATGTTGATTGGCATTCATACTTTTCTTTAGTTCTTTATTATGAAAGTGCTAGATCAGCCACTCTGATATCTTGCCAAAGATTGATGTCAGACTGATAGACCTATAAATGACCTAGGTGATCATATTTGCAATTATTAAATATTCACACAACATTAAGTTTCTTCTAATCTCTGAAATTTCCCCAATGCTGCAAAACTTATTAAAAATTGGCTTTGCTGGTCCAGTGAGCTCTTAGCCAGCTCTTTAAAAACTCTTAGATTTAATTAATCTGGGCCTATTGATTTTTAAATGTCTAATTTTAATAGTTTGTTGTTTAACATGCTCTTGATGTACTAGTGGAGTGGAAAAAGTATTATCATATGAAGAGACTTTTGTCATCTGTGTTTTTCCAAATACAGAGCTGAAATATTTATTGAACACTCGTGTTTTTCTCCATTATTAATGATAATTCTGCTATTTTTTCCACCTAGTAATGGGCCAATACCTTTGTCAGAGTTTTGTTTGTTCCTAGTATAATTTAAAAAATATTCCGTCATTGCCCTTAGATCTATTGGCCATAGAATTTCTCCTTGTGTTCTTTCACTTAACTTTTTATAATTCCTAACTTCTAATTTATATTCATTGCAATCAACTTCTCCTTTCTTCCATTTGTTATATATTATTTTTGATAGCCAGCTTCACTTCACTTCACTTCTAAACCAGATTGTTTGTTGTTTTTAATTAGTAGAACTGTCTTCCTCGATTGGGACTTTTAATGTATCTAGTCAAGTGTTCTTAAACAAGTCCTCTTGAGCACATTTCCATCAAAATTACCATCTGCTAGGAGGGTAAATGAGCTTAAGCTTTGGCTGCTCCACTTCTTGTTCTCCGCCAGATCCCAGTCCCAGCCAGGGGATGTTCCTCTGCATATTTTAGATGTAAAAATGATTATTTTTACCTGGAAAATACCAGGCCACTTAGAAAACTCTATAGGTTACGTGTAGAATATGGGACAGTGAACAATGCTCCACTAGTTATGGCTCTAACCTAGAACTTAGGAGATTTGGGTTCAAGTACCAAAAACTTACTATGTGAAATAGGGATGTAATAGTGTAGTCGATTAACCAATAAGCAAAACCTTATAGGTTTATATTATAGACTACATGCATTTCCCTCCCCTGCCTCCTTCAGTACATTTTTTAGCAGGCAGGCAGCCCGGCTCAGTCCTGGCTCACGCCGGGTCCAGGCCAACCTTCACTTGCTGTGGCTGTTTTTAGTAGCCAAATAGGTGGGCAGCCAAGCTCAGTTTCAGCTTGCACTGAGTCTGGGAGCTCAGGCATCCCCTAGACAGGGGCTGCTGCCACCCTGTGCTGCTGCCTCTTTATTAGAGGCAGCAGCACTGGGCAACAGGCAGGCAGTCTGCAACGGGAGCTGTTTTGTAAACTGGCTCCCCTCGCCAGTGGCAGAGGGCTCCAAGGGTGAAGCCAGAGTGCACTGACTACCAGCCCCACCTTTGGCGACTGTAGAATAGTCAACTAACTGATAAGAATTCATGAGGTTACTCGACTATTCAGTTTACGCATATTTAACATCCATAATGTGAAACTTGGGCAAGTCGCTTAATCTTTCTATAATTTCCATGCCCAATCTGTAAAAGTGGAATGGCAGTGTACTGCCTTACCACACAGAAATGCTGTTACATCTTTGTTAGGAAACTAGTGTCCCCTGATTTAAAGATTGACTCCACTAGAGCCACCACTGTATTAGTGGCATATTTCTGGCTAGTTTCCCTAGAGAAGATGTATAATGCAGCAGCTTGAAATTAAGACTAAATGTTCACCAATGAGTACTCTTTGGATTTAGCTTTGTGCTCTGATTCCCCAGTTGCAGAGAGTGGTCCATATTTAGTTAAGAATTCCTTCCCTGCAGTCGTCTTGGTAGTACACTGCTTTCTAATCTCTCTCACGTGAGACTACAGAGCTTCTCAATTACAAAAGAGAGGTTACTCATCAATAGCTGTTCAAGCGCTTGGTCATGTCTATTCCATTCTAGGTGTGCATGTGCCTACACACACAGTTGGAGATTTTTGTCTTAGTGTCATCTGTAGGGTTTGCTGTGGTGCCTCCTTTTGTGCTGGGTTCATGCTGGTATATTAGGTACTGCTGACCCTGCCTACACAACTTTTCAGTTTCTTTTTACCACCTGTGACCATTGGTCTAAGCACCCTGTCTTGCATCATAAGGCCATTAGCAGTTCTTACATTGCATTGTTCTGTCTCCTTTGTTTTGCCTTGTTAGCTACTTAGACCATTAAGCTAAGCTAGAGTAGTTGATCAGTTAAAGTCCTGGTTGGTGCAACTGGCTGATGCCTAATAGTGACATTCACAATAGCTGTTTAAAGTGCATGGGGGAGCCCCACAGAAAGTAGAGGTGTGGTACCTGTAAAAATATTTGCCCTCAAACTCAAAGGGAGCAGGATATTCATTTGAGGGTGCTCCACATGGAGTCCCCCCCCCCAACCCTGGTCAGAAGACTCAGTTCTCTGATGCTAGGGTCTCCAGTTATACTAATCTACTAGCGCCAAATACACCAGCGTGTGAGTGCAGCACTGTGAAAGGGGCTTCAGAGCTGACCCTATGAATACTCTTAAGGCAAAAATCTGTAGAGATGGCACACATGAGCATGCACACACCTAAGATAGAGTGGAAGTGAACAACACATCTCGAACAGTTATGAAAAGGTAGATAGCCTGAGTGCACAGAGGTGACTTCCAAAGGAAAAATGGTTATCTGCCCATCTTCCTTTCTGCCTTGGAGTTGTATATAATATCAGGGTGCTGCAGATAGAAAGAAGGAATTGAGGTGATGGTGACACTCCCTTAGGTGGAGTAGGGTGAAGATGTTATCCTCATGCTAGGACTCTCATGATCACCTTCTCTTCCCTCTGTGGATTTGGCTTTTCAAATCAGTTCCATCTCTCAGTGCCAAGGACATCATATTCCTTAGGTGGAAATACATAGTCAGCTTTTGAAGAATAGGTTCTGGTAAGTAACAGTGCCTAATATAAGGATCCTTATTATCCAATCAGAATTCACCCTGTCTATAAAAGTATAAATATCCCAGTTTCATTCTAAGTCATAGTATCAGTTTAGTGTATTGCATACTCATTCCAGAATTTACTGCTATTCTATTGTATCAACATCTGTTCTGAGAAAACTGTATCTGTTGAGTTTGTACTGAGAGAGCAGCATTTAAATATTTTGGATATTTAAAGACTATAGCTGCATTTAAATTTGCTGATAGTTCTAGCTTCAGTTTAATGTGCTAAATAGCTTTATGTCACGTTACTTTGCTAGGTTAAAATATTTTTGACACACTCGCTTCGAAACTAGCATTTAGTAAGGATTAGACAACCGCAACATTTTAACTCAAAAATTCACTAATGTGAGTTGTGAGCAACTATCTTTTTGCAGTGAAAAACGTTTTCTCATTCTACCGTAATTCAGACAAATGAAAATGTAATAATTGCAAAAAATCATGTCTGGAATGGTGCCATATATAGAAAAGGAAAATACTGAGGATATGTAAGTGGGGTTATAATTCCCAAAGTGATCAAATTACAGTATTCATACCAAGTGAATTCTTGTAAGAATCATGGATTATGGTTTGTCTGTTGGCCATTTTTAAGGTAAAATACTGAGAAAAGTATCCTTAGTTTGGGATACTTGCCTTTTCCTATTTTAAGATAAATCAATTTTAACTTTCCAGACTCCACCTTTGGATACAGGCATTATGGTCTCAAGCCTGCTTTTGGCAATACAGTTGTGTCCAAAAATGGAATTCCAGTTGAGTGAGCAATATGGAGAAGACTTGAGTGAAAGCACTTGGGAATATATATTTGCTATTGATCTCCTCTGCTGTCACTTGAAATGGACTTGGACCCATGACAATATCATAAGGTATTGTGCTACTTACTCCTTATGTTTTCTTGTTCGTTATATTCAAAAGCCAATGATTTTGCTTTTAGCTAATGAGCTTTAAAAACAAAATCCTGTTATGTTTCTCTAACTGATGATGATTCTGTACGTAAAATGGCTACTCTTTTTGGTAGTATCAGTCCATACTAGCAATAGCAACTGGTCAAAAATTATTTGCTTTGTAAATAGATTTAGTAGCGCCTCAGCCCAATGTATGAGTGGAAATGAAATGCTTGATCTTCTAAAAACAGTGGTTAATTTCCATCAGACAAAAGAATGACTAGAAAATGCACCTGAAAATTGAAATGCACTGTAGCCAAAACTACTTCAGTATTGAACAGCTGTAACCCAGACACAGTGTGACGAGTCTAGTATTTTAGGTTTCTTCTTCAGGAGGCAAGTAATTTCTTTAACTGGCTATTAAAAAGATAAACAAAACAACTGCTCAAGGATTGAAAATGTACAAGTTCCAAGTAGATGAATTATTGAGCAGGTGAGATTATAAAAGGCGGATAAAAATGTATCACACTGCTCTTCAGTTTTATCACATGATTAACAACACCATAACTGTACACAGAGTCTTTCAAGTCTGATGTTTTCAACTCCAATTTTCTTCCACAGTAAAGAGCTTTGGCCTGTCATGGATAAGTGGGTGAAGCATAGGAAAGGACATGAGACTATTCCACCTACCCCAGATATTATTGTAGCATCAACACTCAGGCTAATTGGTGAGTAAAACATGTTTTGGTTGAATTCCTACTTTTTATAAATACACTCTTTGAAAATGCCTGGATGACTTCTGGAAGCTGGAATGGCTTTTCAATTTCATTGTTACTTTAAATGTGATATTTCACCATTGAGTCAACAATTTTTATCGAAGATTTATTCCCTCTGACTGTGAAGATGAGTGATACTGATCTGTATTTCAGTCTTGTGAACAGAAATTGCTATGGCCTTGTGGAAGGCTATATAGTAGATTCCTAATGACTCAATTACTATCTATGTTTATTACTGGAAAGTAAAGAGTTTTTTCTCTTTGTGGAAAAGGTACACATTAAATTCTGATGTCCCTATATTTTAGGGTTTTTCAAACTTCCCTCACATTTTCTAGTAGATTCCTAAACTTACATAAAACAATCTCTTCCTCCTGTTATAATTATACATCGACTGCGAAAGGAATTTCTTACATGGAAACACAGCATAAAACAATCTCTTCCTCCTGTCATAATTATACATCATTGACTGCGAAAGGAATTTCTTACATGGAAACACATATTGGAAGAGTATTTTAGTATATCTTAATTGTTTTGTAAAACATTTTTGCAGCTGGAAACTAAAATAATTTAATACCATTTAACTAGCCAGCTTTCTGTGGACCGTAACTTGGAAATCTCTGTACAAATTAAAATATTTCCTATGCGTTTGCTCATCCCATATAGATTTTATTACTGTATACGCTTACCTTTGGTTGATTCCAGTAGGTGACACTCTTCTGCTCTGAGTTAGTAAAGAAGAAAATTTCTAGCACAGCAGTTTATCAGCCTTCTTTTCATTTGTAAACCTCTAAAACATTTCACATGGACCCTTTTGGAAATCTTAAACAGAGGCTGTGTCTAACACTGCTAGGGGGTTTTCAGCAGAAAATATGCAAATCGTGCTCTCATTTGCATATCTTCTGCCAATCCTTTTTGAAGACGAGGGTTTGCCACTAAAAAGCCCCGTGTAGATGGGGCCATTTGTCAGAAAAAAACCCTTTTTCGCATGGTCCTGTAAACCTCATTTTTTGAGGAATTAAGGGATCTTGTGGGAATTAAGGGAATGAGAAATATATTTTGAGTCTCTGAGCTAAACTCCACTACCACAACCACATCAGTCATTTGTTGTGGAAGCAGCAACTTCTCCTTCAAGTGGTCCCTGTGGGGGCTCTACTTTGGGTGCTGGTGCGTCCTTGCACCAGTGACTGGAGACTTTTTCTAGCAGTTTCTACTGCACCGCACACGTGCTGCAGCGCTCCCTTGTGCTGTTGAAATCCATTAGGCGCGTGCGCGGTGCAGCTCCTCAGTTCCTTCTCTACCGTCCTCGGCAACAGATGTAGCCTTTCGTTCTCTCAAATTTCTGTTAAAAAATAGACAAGTACCCAGTTAATCCCTATAGTTACCTCATTATCCAAGTTCTTTCAGCCCCTTTTCCTCCTTCCCAGTCAGTTAAAAAAAAAAAAAAAAGTTCTTCCTTGCGGCTCGCTGCTTTTCCCCCCAGCACCTCATTCCCGGTTCTCCTGGCTTTAAGAGGTGCGAGTCTTGCCGCGATGCTGTGCCCATTTCTGACAGACATTCTAAGTGCATCAAGTGTCTGGGGGAGTCACATCAGACACAAAAGTACCCCACTGCTCTAAACTCACCGCAAGAGCACGTTGTGATCTGGCTAACAGACTCAGGACACTCCTACGAGAAGTCCCTTCTCCCATTTTCAGAGGACTCTCTTATGGCTCCAAAACCGGCCTCGCAGAGTAAGGGTATGGACAAATATCATCCCTCTACCCACTCCAGCCTCGCGGCGTCGAAAACAGGCCTTTCCCCAACTCGCTCACTACCCTCAGCACCGACTGCCACACAGGTCATCACCGAGGATAGACCCGGAACATCTGGTTTATCACTGCCTAAGACATCGGCACCACATAAGAGAACCCACTCAGAGCCGAAACAGAGATCAGCAGCACTGCAGTCTATGGCACCGGATACACCTTCGGCATCGGCCACACGGGCGGGCCAACACGGAGCAATCGGCACCGAAGCACTATACAAAAACAGCACTGGTATCCGCACCAAAGAAGCCCCGTACCGACATGCCTTCGGCACCAACTAAGCCACACCACCCGGCACCGATGGAAGGACGAGACCAGTACTGATCGCTGGTGCGATGTCATACACCAATGGTACCGATTTCACTGGGTTTGTCCATAGTCGGTGAGGTCCTGTAGGTCTTCCATTGTTTCTCACTCGCCCAGTGAGATCAACATGGAATCAAGGAGCAGGTTTTCTTCCCAACAATTCAGCTTGGCCCACAGACTGCCCTCTTGGCAACCTGGCTCAGTACAGTACGCCTACCCTCCTCCTCTACTGCTGTGGTATGCACAGCAGTATGCTTACCCACCACCATACACCCCTCAATGGCAAGCATGGGAGCCACGTCCCAAGGCCATCTCGAGATCACCACCGGCCTCACCTCCTATCACTGCTTCAGTGACTGAGCCAAACTCTCTAGCTCACTCTGAGATACAGGACTCTCTGTCCGAAGGAGAGGCTAGATACCCTTTACACAATTTATCATCATCTCCAGATGAGGCGGTCACAGCCGAAGCCCCACCATCTGGCGACGACGCGAGAAAGTTCCAAGACCTTTTCAAAAGAGTGGCCTCGGCGCAGGAGTGTGACCTTCAGGAGATGCAGGTGAAACAATACCGGCTTCTATGCACACTGCAATCTTCCACTACCTCCAGAATAGCACTCCCCATGGACCAGGCTATTCTGGACCCTGCCGATAACATCTGGCAGACTCCTGCTTCCATTACCCCAACAAACAAAAGGGCTGACCGCAGATATTTCATTGCCCCCAAAAACATGGACTCTACTTTTTACTCATTCCCCTCCAAACTCATTAGTAGTGCACTCTGTTCAGCATAAAGGAAGATAACCTAACCTTAGAACCACTCCACAGGACAGAGACCACAAGAAAGTTGACATCATGGGCCGCAAGGTCTACTCCTCCGCCACCTCGTTCCTCAGAGCAGCAAATTATACAGTGATGCTCACGGACTACGACAACGCCAATAATTCCAAACTACAGAATCTGCTCTAACAGTTCTCAGAACACAAGAGACCAACTCTACTCAGCATTATGCAGGAGGGCCACACCATCTCCTGCACCGTCCTACAGTCCACTATGGAGATGGCAGACACCGCGGCCCGTATTACAGCATCCAGCATGCAAAGGATCTTCAGGCATCAGGGGTCCCGAGGGATTTACAACAGAAGGTCGAGGATCTACCATTTGATAAGACCAACCTATTCGCAGTTAAGACGGAGAAGGTGTTGCATTTCATGAAGGATTCCCGTACTACCCTCAGGACCCTGAGAATGTACACTCCCCCCTTTAAGAGAACGAGGTACCAGACCTACCAGCGGCCCAGGGAGCCCTTTAGACAACAGACCAGATATGCCTTCTGTCAAAAACAAAGACTACAGTGTCGTAGACCTCAACGCCAACACCAACACCAACAGCACTCCTCCGTAACCCACCTACCTGCAAACAAACAGCAGGTTTGAAAAACGGATCGAAAGTCAGAAAGCCATTTCACCACCACTTGCAACCAGCCTTTCTCAATTCCATCACCCTTTCTGGACGCTTTTCCACCAATGGTCCCTCATCACATCAGACAAATGGGTCCTGGAACTGATTCAACATGGCTATGCTATCCCGTTTACTTCCCTGCCCCCTTCCCACCCTCCCACTTCATTCCTCTTCAGGGACCCATCTCACAAAACCCTTCTCCAACAGGAGGTTTCACACCTTCTACAACTGTGTGCCATAGAACAAGTATCACCAGAATTCCAAGGTTGGGGGTTCTATTCAATCTACTTCTTAACCCAGAAGAAGAGTGGAGGATGGCAACCCATGTTGGATTTGAGAACACTCAACAAGTACATTGCCTACCACCATTTCAAAATGGTAACCTTAGCAACAATCATCCCGGCATTGGATCAAGGGGTCTGGTTTTCGGCTCTTGACCTCCAGGATGCCTACTTCCATATCACGGTCTATCCTGCTCACAGATGTTTCTTGCGGTTTATGGTGGGCACACAACACTGCCAGTACCGAGTGCTTCCCTTTAGCCTCTCAACTGACCCCAGGGTGTTTTCCAAAACCCTGGCGGTCATAATGGCCTCACTTGGGCATCAAGGGTTATGATTTTCCCATACTTTGATGACTGCCTCATAAAAGGGTCGTCCCTTCAGGAAACCAAAGCCATGACTGACACCACATTGCACTTTCTGGTCAATCTGGGCTTTCATATAAACCATTCAAAATCTACCCTACTTCCAGTGCCGAAATTGGAGTTCATAGTGGCCTTCATCGACATGGAAGCAGCAAAGCTACTGTGCCTGAACACAGATTCAACACCATTCACGACGTTATCGTGACTGTGCGATCAGTTCCTACCATGACGGTATGCAAATGTCTCAAAATTCTCGGACATATGGCCTCTATGACATATGTCGTCACGTTGGCCAGACTCCACGTGAGGGGCTGAGGCGGGGTCCCCCCACCACGCCCTCTCCCCCACGAGCTTACAGCAGTCAAAGCAGGCCCTGGGGCCTAGTCCAGCAATCAAAGCAAGCCCTGGGGCCTATTCTGTGCCCTGAGGGGATGGGGTAGGGGGGTCCGGGCCCTCCCTCTCCACCGGACCCCAACCCAGGGCCCTAGTAGTGGTGGGTGGTTCCCACCACTGGCTTGGTGGGGGGTTCTCCCCGAAACACGCCGAGCCCACTGGGGGGTTCCCTGCCCCTTACCCTGGGTTGCTTCCTACCCCAGCCCTGTGGCCGACGGAGAAAAAAGGCATATAAATATTAGTCATAATGAAGTCTACATACCTGTAGTGTCGAACTTTTTTGCATTTTCCCCCTGTTGTGTTCTGATCTGTGTTTATAGCAGAAACTATTATTAGACTCCT